ATGTTTACAAGTTTTATTAATTTGCATACTTTCGATAAAATAAAACATTGCCATCCCTGGAAATAGCCAATTTTTACATCGAATTTACGCTTCCATTGTGGAATCTATGCAATTAATCGAGTTACATATCGAGATACAAATAAAAAAAAAAAACAAGCAAACATTTATTCAATACACGAATAAAACATGGAAAACGAGCAATCCGGAAATTAACCCGCAATTTCGCATGAACGTTACGAACTATTCTTTCAATTTTTATTAATATCGTTAATCGATACAGTGCAATTCAACTTTTGTCAACATTTTCTTTTGTTTCTTTTTTTTTATGAATATTTGTATGAATGTTATTAAGTGCAGGATGAAATGAATATCGATGATCGTAAAAGTGTACCGGTGACATGCATGTTACACTAACCAATCCTGCTATCTCTATTTCGCCTGCGGTGATAATAAAATTGTAATGGATACGTGGAATTAACGAAATTCTATATTCTCTCGTGTCCCACAGTGCAGCCATTTTTCCGAAGGCCATTGAACGCTTGTTTCTTCATTTTTTTATTCGTGAATATTCATTTGATTTACAACCACCACTGCGGACAGTATTAAAAAAAAAAAAAAAAAAAAAAAAAAAAAAAGAAAAAAAGGAAAAAAAAGAGAAAAAAGGAAAGAGAGAAAAAAATGAAAGGAATAAAAATATATATTGAAGACGAAAAATTGAATTTTATCAAATTATGATTCTCATTCTATGATTCTCTGTATTTTTTAAGGGTTGCGTTTTAACATTCTCGCGATTGTTGGTTTGTATGTAATAATAATGGTATGTAAAAATTTTTAACGAATCGCTGAAAATACAAGAAAGAAATTCAACAAAATTATACAATGTACAAAATGACGTATAACGATTAAATTGATCAGTGTTATAAAAAAATTATTTAATCTGATAATTTTGATTTTTATGAAAATTTATCTGCATGTTTTAATTTCTTTATTTATTTATTTTTTTGATAAAACTTTGTTATTAATATATATAATAATAATGTATATAATAATTTCGAATAAATCACTGTAAATAATTGAATTATTTTATTACGATTATGTTATTATAATATTTATTTTATTATGGAAATTACTTTATAATTAAATATTTTCATCTTGAATCAATATTAATCAATAATAATCATATTTTTAAAATTGTAAATATATAAAATTTAACCTTCTGGACAAATATTCACGATTATTAAAATTAAACTGAATATATAATTAAAATTGAATTTGAATATTTATTTTGTAATTTTTACTGTTAAAAATAATATTTATTTTATTTCTTAATATGATAAGATTGATATATATATATATATATATGATTTGTAAATCATATACATTTATTACTTATATTCAGAAAAAAGATTATGTTTAACTTATTAAATCCTTTAAAGAAATAAAAAGAAGAAAATAAATAAATTTAAAAAACCAAATCTCAAAATTTAAAAAACGATTCTACTCCTTGTACATCCAATATTTCCAATGGCATCCATTCTTAATATAGAATCTCGAAAATTTTCACTATCTAACTATTGCTTTTCAATATTCTAAACTTGCAACAATCTTAAAAATCGCCATTCTAACAAATTCAACGCCAACCTCGTTTCAAAAGAAGAAGAAAGAAAGAAAAGCAGATAGAGAAAATACAGAATATCCTGCTAACTTTAATCTGGTTACTCGCTTCCGGGTTGTCACAGGTGTCGAATAGACTCTCAACCCTCCCTAGTTT